TTACTGTCGAAATATTAACTTCTTCAAAATGAGGTTTAAAAAAAGTGTACCATTTATGTGCCGAATAAATTATATGCTGCTTTATAGCTGAAGATAAAAGTTATATAATTTTGATTAGCCGAATTATATACTTTTTTGATGAATAATTGACGAGTGGCATAATGCCGAATAAATTCATTTCGACTAGTGTATCGTAGACCACAGCTGTATCATATTGTCATATATGTCCAATGCCAGTTGGGTGCCATCAGGTAAGAAGGTTACACTCCAAACGGTATCAGTATGTCCTTCGAAAGTATATATATTTTCTAATGTTTCGACATTACGAAGAAAAATTTTCTTTTCACTAGCAATGACAAGAAGACGTCCATCTGGAGAATAGTAATGACAATGGCAAACATTCTCAAGATCTAAAAAAAGAAATTTACTGAATGCCCCCTTGAAATTAACATTAATTAAATCTGCTTCTTTAAATTGAGTATATTGAAATAAACCGTAACTTAAATACATACCGCCAATATGAATACCACTTAAATTTTTTCCACTAAATGACATTCCAGCTTTATTCCAACTTGTTATTGAATTTGATGCAGCAATTTCGAAACCAGTATCTTCTTTTGATTACTCGATAAGATTAAGAAGATTGGCTTTAAATTTACTAATTCACTGTATATATTTTGAATTTCCATCATTTTGTGTGTATTCTGTTTGAAAGTGAACAACCTTAGGATTACCTAGTATAATATACAGTAGTAGTTATTTAAATTAAGATACTTTAATTATATTTATTAATTATAAAATATTAATTAATATTTTTTTAGTATTGATTTTAATTTTAGATATATTGATATTAATTTTTATCTTTTTTTCTTATTTTTAGCAATCTTTTTTTTACAATATTATATATTAAAACAACAAGTTATTAATTACAATTTTTTAATACAATACTTAACAATTAATATTTATTATTATTATTATTATCATTATATTTTATAATAATATGTATATTTATTTTTTTGTTGCTGTTTCTAGTTTTATGTCAAAATTATAAAACATTACTAGAAAAAAATAAATTATTGAAGCTAAAATAGACTCTAAGATAATTGATTACATTACACAATTACATCTTATACTTTTTTTTAAACTAATAAGATTTATTGCAAATATAAAATTAAAAAGGATATTGTTTAAAAAAAAAAATAATTTAATAAAAGACATAATTTATTAAACAGTTTATTTTATTTTTCAATGTACTTATATTAAGCTAAACATCTTTTATTTAATATTATACAGTTAATAATCAGTTTGTAAGTGACAGACTTGCCAAAATTATTATTATGATAATTAAAATAATTATAATTTTTTATATATAAATTGAGAACAAAAAAATTTTTTTAATAAAAAAAATTATTGCCTGTATTATTAAAAGTAATTTATAATAAATCTATTTATTCAATATTACAAATTATATTTACAAGGTTTTATATAATTAAATTAATTAATCATAATTAATTATATTATTTAGTATCACACTGCATATTCAAAATTTATAATTATAATAAATACGTATTTATCAAATGCAAATCACAAATACTGTAGTAGATTAATCATTTTCAATTTATATTGCGTGTAAACTTGTTATGTAAACATTCTTTAAAAAAATAGATTGATTCATCTTGTGGTATAACAATATCGTTATAAGTAACATAACATCACAGATAAATAATTTATTTATTTGTTTATCGCTTAGATTTAAATGTTCAAAAAATTTATGTTAATTTTTTATTGATATGTTATGTATGATAATACAAAATCTTTCTAACGTAAATTTGGATAATTTTATTGCGTATCGTATGTATGCAATTTATTGTTGGGATTGAATATGATAAGTTTTGTTTGTTACGAATAACAGAATGTTATTATGTAACATCAAAAGAAGTAATTCGGATTATTAAATTAACTTTTACTTTTAGAAATACAATCATATACCAAATAATGAGAATTTTAATTCATTTTAAATTCTAATAATTAAATATCATCTTTCAAATTACATCAAATTATATTAATTATATTAAGTATTTATCATTTTCCGAAGCGTTAGCATAGGACTACCATTCTAAACCACATTAGACACGTTTATATTAACGTGTAACGTTATTGGCTTCTGACTAACAATGGTTTCTATAATCTACTTTTCGAATAAAACAAAGAATTTGTAGTGATATCAAAATTACACAACAAAAATCACTATACAAATGTAACAAATAAAATTATTCGACATGTACACAGAATTAGGTATTATAGTGCACGATACGTCATGTATTTAATACGATCTCGAGTTGTTTGGAAGATTTATTAGAATGAGGTTAAGAAGGATGTGTATGAAGTAATATGTCAGACTATAGTGGTACTAGTCGTAAAAGTGAAACTTAACGAACACACTGATACAGTAGATGGTGAGTCAATGGTAAAATTCAAGGTATCAAACTAAGTACAATAAACACATCATTCATGATGAACACACATGCAAGAATAAAAGTGTTGAAAATACAAAATTAAATTATATAAATGAATAAAGCACTAAATTATATAGATCAATAAATAGAATTAACTTATTATACAATGAACATTCGATCAAATGTGCATACATGAATAGTAGAGAATTCACTAAGGGGGACAGAATTCATCTCACCAATGTAAGTGTGCAGATGTTAATCAACTATTCAATACCTCGTGTTTCTCGGTGAAGTAGGCGCGCTCAACGGGTATTTCGGCGAATTAGGTACGCTCAACGCGTATTTTGGTGAAGTAGGCGCGCTCAACGGATATTTCGGCGAATTAGGTACGTTCAACGCGTATCCTGGTGAATTCGGTGCACTAAACGTGTAGCCCGGCGAATGAATTAGTCCATGTGAAGAGCTATGTCCAGAATGGGAAGAATATATTGAGAGGCCAGAGTTTCCGGAATGAGTGGGGTACTTTTCGAAATATGCTTTGCTGATTTGAATGTTAGCAATAGATATCGAAAATCGGTTCTCGCTGTCGTCGCCGTCGTCTTCGTTCTCTTCATCAATGCTCTTTTCACCATACGGATTATAACTTTCGTATGGATTATAACTCTCTGTTCCACAATCGCTCTTTCCATCCCCACCTTTTTCACTCTCGAGACCTGTCACACTCTTGACACTTGACGATTCACTGGACTTTTTGTACTTCCTATAATATATGAAGCCGATCGTCACGAATATTACGGTGATCAGAGCGCCAGTAATGCAGACAGCAATGATGAACCATTTGCTGCGTGAATCGGATTGGATATTGGCGGTAGTGACCCAGCTGTATGTATTAAAGTCTAGAACGTAAATTTGCGAACTTGGAGATCTTGGAATGGAAGAGACGTTGTGGTTTATTATGCCTGACGGTTTTCAATTTTATTAATAGGGCTAGTCATTCACCAAACACAAATCACATGTCGACGTGAAACTCACCAAAAATAACAAACATATAATTCTGATAAACGATGGCCTCATGGTTAGAAACCAAAGCATCTGGAGGTACATATCCATTTAGTGTGCTATAACTAAATGGTTTAGTGGTGGTGTCCAGTATGACGACCGGGTCTTCGGGCGCCACCTTGGATGAGCCTATCACTCCACCAAAGATTATGATTTTTCCACCGGGAGCTGGTTATGGGTAAAATGGAGAAAAATAAAATAAGCATAAAAACAACAAAGGGAGTATGAAAGAGAAAGGAGAAAAAATCAGAACAATTAAATGAGATTTTCTTTTACATTACTTATAACTGCCGTGTGACCGGATCTTGGAACGATTGTTCTTCCGTCTGTGACCTATGAGAGAAATGTAACGACTCAACAACAGACATTCAATGAAAACCAAAGAAATTCTTAAATTCTGCTTACCATAGTCGACCATTTTGCAAGCTTGGTGTCATAAATCGGAATCTATTCAAAAGATAATCTATTCAATATCCTCACGAAAGCAATCTATCGGTAGAAATTAAAATTGTAAACTTCTCCGACCTGGTTCATGGATGCATCCACCCATGTATTCTTATCACGTAACATCTTCCCTCCGATGAATAATATCCTTCCGTCACTCAACATTACACATGCTGCATCGCTTGTTGGTGGAGGAGCATCAACGGTCGACCCTTGCGTCCAACTCAAAGACACACTGTCAAATGCGAAAATATCGTTGAACCCTACACGAACAGTCGAATTACTCGTTTTATTAGCGACCTCTTTGTAACCACCAAAAATATAGATTTTCCCATGATCATCGTCTGCATATTGAAAGTTTGTCCTTCTCTCCGGAGTTGAACCGCTCGCTGAGGATGAGCTCCATAGTCGATAATCAGGTTCAAACTGATAAGTACTACTAATGTCGGTGCCCTCGTTCCCGACCGGCTGCATCAATCCATTGGTAAGAAAGATAGTTGACATGTTGCTTCCACCCTTGAACGCAGCACCCCACGCAGTTCTTACGGGCACCTGAAATGACGGTGCGCTAACCCACGGTGGAGCAGTGGTGGAAAATGAGGACGAAAGATCTAAATAGAACATGTCGTTAAGTATCGAATCTGCGGATTGTCCGCCGAAAATATAGAGCCTGTTGTTGAATAACGTTGAGGTGTGCGCATATCTAGGAATTGGAGAGAATGAAGAGGCAAGAGTGGTGCCCGCATTGCTCAGAATGCATGTGATACATAATAATAAAAATATTAATCGCGATGATAAAGGTGGTGAAAAGGCAGACGTCGACGAAGGACAGGTGGTTTGATAGGGGACAGTACGTGGTTGATTTCGAGAATAAAGATTGAGGTAATGAATGCCAATTCGAAACGATTGGTGCGATCGAGTGTATGTTTTATGGCTACAATGCAGCTGACTATCTTGAGTACTGCGGTGGTATTGCTGACGACGGCTGGATGTGGAGTTTACGCAATGGAGGTTTCGTCTGGGACAATTCATACACTTTTGATAATTAGCCTCGTTATGATGGTTCTTATATGACATGGTTATTTTGTCACTTGATCGCGCGATAATCAATTGTTCCTAAATTTTTTCTATTAGAAATAGTATTAACGTTCAATTTAAAAAAAAGAATGAATTTGATCGTGAAAAATATTTTTATTATTATTAATTTTTTTTTGTTAGGATTTTAAAAATTGAATGAGGGAATTCCGTATCCTATTAATAAAATCTAACAAAAAAGAAAATTTAATAAAATTTTCAGACTAGAACAATTTAAGTGCTGAGAGGTGACGAGGATTTATAGTCGAACAGAAGTGCAATTGTGTACTATTGAAAGTGGTACCAAGATGCTCGGTAGCATCAATCGATTATAACATGTCATCTTTACCAAAAATATGTTATTTACAATAACACCCCATATTGCGTGCATAAATAAACATTTGGATACCGCATTCCAGTGATAATAGTAGTCGTCCTTTGGAATGCGTGACGAACCAATTGGTGCTACCGTGTGCATAACAAGAATTTACCCAGTACAGTGCTGTATTTCCTCCATGAATGATTGTCGATGTTTAATTAAAGATGATTTGATTTACTGTATATACTGTATACTCACTTTCATCTTATTTCAGACGAAACAAAACATTCAATACACTTATTTCCCATTTTTCTCTCAAGGGTATGTCATTTCCGAAGTTACACATTAGAGGCGAGTCGCTCCCGAATATGCAAATAGGGACCGCATGCGAGACCAGAAAAGGAAACCAAATTTATTGAAGGTGACACGACCTTTAATAGAGGGGATCCAATAAGCGGGAAAGACACACTAATTTATTTCTCGCAAAATAGGAAATATTTGATGAGGTCTGTTTGTTCTATTAAAATTCTAATTCGAAATTGGTAATTTACTTATGTAAATAAATAAATCGTATATCCTGTAATGGCAAAACCATCTTTTACGTAAGTCATCCCTTCACCACAACACTTGTTATTTTCTGACATAGATCCAAATATACATGCGCTTACGTACATTTCCGGAAATTGTTTAGAGTTATTAAATATGTATGCTACTATCATCTTCCTAAGTTTTCTTATTTCCTGTACAAGTGCACTGTTGTACATCTGCTTGCATACAATGTTGAAAATAAAATTCAAATGCATGCAGCAAAGAAAGGAATTTACAATAGAATTCTTTAAAATTCAAAAACTTTTAACATGTCGAGTATGTGTTGGACAAAACTTTTAATGGTGAGCCAAAAACCTCTTCTTCCCTAAAAAAAAAAAATTCTACTACCACAAATCGGCATTCGTGCATATAGCAGTAAAAGGTGGACCCGAGAAATTTACCCATTCATCCTATAATCAAGCTTTTCTCTCACCTCAAAAATTGGCAAGATGTGTAAACCGATCTTGTAATACAGATACGAAAAAAGAATACAATATTATTTCCCTGGTGCGCATATCACAATTACAATTAACGATACAAAACCACAAAACGGTAGTTTTAGATTGTTTTAAAAAAAAGAAAAGAAAGAAAGAAAAAAACTATAATATTATCTGTTGAATAAGAATGTATTAAGAAACAAGAGGGCTTGATTGAAAAATAATTTTCATATTATGTGGTTCATGGTTTTGATATAATAATTTAATTATAAAATAATAATAATAAAGAAATAAATATTTTAGAAATATAATTTGGCTGGTGTTTTTAATTTAAAATAAAATAAATAAATTTTTTAAAAAAAAAATTGATTAATAAATAAATTAATTGATTAATAAACCGTATAAGGTAAGGGTTTGCATGACATTATTTAAAAATAAATTGTGCTTGTTACTGTTGATTCTTTTAATTTTTAATTTTTTAATGTTTATTTTATTATCCATTTTATATATAACAATATATAAAAATAACATCTCTTAAATACAAAGTATACAGTAAGTTATACGTTAACATGTCTATTACAACTATTTAATTAATATATTAAAAAGGATTTTAAAAACCATATATACATGTATACATAAAATAATATTAGATGGCTATATAATTTTATTTGAAAAAAATTATTAATTATTGTAAAAATCTTGTAAAAATAAAAATAACAACAATGATAAAATCTTCTATTTGATATATTCTTTTTTTATTTTTTTTTTTGTTACTTATTACTAGAATTTTTGTTAGTATAAATACTTAAATATATATTATAATATGTATCAAAAATAATTAAATATCAAAAATTTATTATTGTATCTTAACTAATAAATCAAAATAGAAAAAATATATTATTTAAAATTAAATTGTACATTTTATAATAATTTTTATTATACTATAAATTTAATTAAATAAAATCTTGATAAATTATTTAAGTATTATAATATATATATTTTATATTATTTTTTGCAATGGTTTACAGATTTTTAATAAAATTCAAGTTTAAATTATTTGTAAACTAGTTAATAATATCAGAAATATACTTAATATCAAAAGCTTAAATAATTTTACAAATATGTTTCAAATTCTTATTTTGTTAAAAATAGTAATATTTTTTAAATTTTCTTGATTTTAAATAAATATATATATATAATATTTACATAAAATTTATTATTTATAATATTATCAAAGATTTTTTCAATTTTTAATATAGTATATATGAATTTTTTATTTTTTTAGTATTATTATTATTATTATTATTATATTATATTATATTATAAATAATTTATTTAATTAATATAAATAGTTTTGTTTAAGTTCTTATTGACATATTTGTATATTTAATCTATATAATTTGATTTTTGCTTGTTGCTTAATATAAATACTATTAAAAAAATTTTTTTTAATATTTAAATTTATCAAATACTTTTAAAATCATTATAATATAAATTTTTTTTTCTATTTTTTCTAGTTTAATTATAATACTTTATAACTGTTTATTTTTGGTTTATATATTTTATTTTACTTGTTTTAATAATATAAATAATAATATATAGTATATATTATTTTACAAATTAATTATTGAATAATAAATAATAAAGTAAACAATAAAACATTATAATATTTAATCATTTATTGAATAAATAATTTTTATTAATATATCTTTTCAGTTTAATTAAAATTAATAAAAATAAATTGAATTTGTAAAGTAACTGTTAATTATTTTTGATATATATTATATATAATTAGAAATTAATATAGTATTTGTTAAAATTTTTGTTATTATTGTTATATGGATTTTATAAAAGTAAAAATAATAATAATAAAATTCTATGTTTTGTACATTTTGATTTTCTAATATTTATTATCAAAAATTTTATTAATATAAATACTTAAATATAATATACATAAATAGGAATTATAAAAAAAACTTTTCCTAATTGCATCTATTTTGTTAAAAAAAATTTTTTTATAGTAATTTTAAGCAAGAAAAAATATTTTATACTCTTTATTGTAAGTAAGTTTCAGTTCAAAAACTCAAGAATCTTTAAAACAACTGATGCAATAGGATGGAACCTCCAGTCGAAGTTTATTCAAGTTTGAAAGTCTTGCTTATTCTTCAATTGCATGAGAAAAAACCTGTAACAGTTCTCTTTTCTTTTGTTTTTTTGCACCTCTTCTTATCTTTACTCTATCATAAAAACCATATATATTATTACTATTATACTCACTAAGTCAAATACTATCCATAATATATACTTAAATAGAGCTAGTGAATCTATTATTTGTTTCAAGTCAATTCTCAATCCCAATATCTTGGCAACACTTGTTGTGCCACTTCAATTTTCACAATATTTCCACCTGGCCAAAAAACCAAAATCAGTTTATCCCTTTCAGATGATTAGCACTTTACAATTATTTAATTAGATTTTGTATAAAAATTAAAACAAAAACTGAGTGTATCCAAACTGGATTGCATCACAACAATAACTATAACAACAAGCAACATCATGTATATTCTTTTATATATGGTAATTAAAGAGCCAGAGAGATGGGACAATATGCCTGTCTAGAGATTCTCTTGAAGAAATAATTGGATTTCTACTTATAGATTCTATAGTTTATTTGACTTAATTTTAGTTTTAGTTATATTTGTTATTTTCTTTTCATTTACTTTATATTCAAAAAATTAAAAAATTTTACAAAATTTTATCAAGTAGGTAGGCATAGCTGCTACTTCACTATCTGATATTTTAGTATTGCTTTTGAAATTTTTTATAATATTAGTTAGATAGTAATCAAGTAGGCAAGCTAGCATTTAACTTGTTGTATGCAATATGCATCCAAGAAATTTTGTTTCTTTCTCAATATATATCTTCAATATATGATAACAAATAAAGAGATGATGTTTATCTACTGGGGAAAATCCCTCCAAAAAAAAATAAATAAATAAATAGTAATTATAATAACAGTTATTAGCTTTTTAAAGATTATATTAAAACAAATATTAAATTTGACAACTTTATTTGAATGTATATTATTATTATTATATTCATTATAGTTATTATATTTAATTATCGTTATTATCGTTATTATATTTAATTATCGTTATTATATTTACTATTATTAATTTTTTAAAATTGATAACACAATAATTAAATATATTAATTAATTAACATTAGTTAAAACAAAAAAATTCATATATACATTTTTTTTTTTGCTTGAAAACTTGATACCGTATAAACGCATTGATTTCTTTTGAAATATGAAATTTTTTCCTAAAAAAAACACATAACATTTTAATATCGGATTTAATATACTGTATATACTGTATAGAGTATATTTTATAATAAAAAATTTTTATGATTTGTTTCTAAAGTGAACAAATATATTCATAAAAATATTTATTTCATTTCAATTAAACCAACGTGCGATATTATACGCCCATTTAATGTTATAAAAACATCATTCGATATGCATCTAGACAGTTTACATTTAAATTTCATATAGATTTTAATGCACATGCACGGAGAAGATTTACAGTATACTGCGGTTAATTATATAAATTATGTGTAAAGAGAAAGTTTTTATCGAAAATTAATATGTCAATGGCAATGAGAATATGTAACAAAGAATTTACAATAGATTGTATAGTCAAGGAAGGGTGGTCAATAAATCAATTATGTCGTCCAAGGTTTATTTAAGAAGGATAACCATCAGTAACAAGATTGAAATTAATAAAGATCACAGCTACCAGATTTATCACTCTTGTTTCAAGATAAGGATATAAGAATATTATTTCCGTGACGACTCCGGAAAATATGCCTAATTTACAAATTACCCGATCTGAATATTTTGATCAGATGATCAGTCTTTACAACAGTACAGCAATGTTTTTCTGATGGAAATGTGTGTACGATACATCGGAAACCAGTACTGTAGTTTTTTATAGTAATACGTATGAAATGAATCGTCTTCATACATGAGATCGTTACATTCTTTTTTAACAATACGAATTTGAGGATCATCATCAATAATATTGTTCTTTATGAACTTAATAAATGCTTGCTATATGAACTGATCGAAGTTTTCGCTTCTCTCGTTCCCCTCAAGTTCTAATGAATTCTGCAAAGATTACGGCGAGATGGGCTTTCAACGTCAGCGAATGGAATCCTTCAGATAAGGTGTGACAATTACTTAATCATCTTATTTCCTGAGTCTCAAATTTCCTGCCCGTTTCACCCTAATGATTTGTTGTACAAACATTTCATTAAAATAGCAGTACAATCAGACCCTCTTGTGTGTACAACCAGAGGAAAGCGAACGAATCAAGAGATTTAAATTTTTCAATGATTCAAAGTTAGCTCTGGCCGGTAGATTATTGACAAGATACCTGTTTTGTAAAGTGTATGAGTGTGATTGGAGGGAAATCAGGCTTGGCAGGACCAAAGAAAATAAACCAATATTGGTAAGTCCCGGAAATTTTTATTATGACGTATTGGACAACGTCGTTCTTACCTTTAGTATCACAAACTCTGTATAAAGCTTAAACCAAAAGCTCTTATCGGTGGAAACAAATATGTCAATTTCAACATTTCACATCATGGAAACTGGGTGGTATTGGTGGCGGGTGAAAATTGTCAAATTGGCGTGGACGTTGCAGAAATCGAAAAATTTTCAAACAAAACTATTCAACAAATGTTTGAAATTTTCAAAGATCAGGTATTTTCTCTCCATAGAAAGTCTTTACTTTGCAAATCCGAAAATGACTTAACTGTGCAACCTGTTGTAAAGTTTTCCGAGCATGAATTATCGGTGATGACCACTCCCCAAGAAGAATCCCAACAACTACACATGTTTTATAGACACTGGTGTTTGAAAGAGAGTTACGTGAAAGCCGTTGGAGTTGGTTTGGCCACGAACTTAAAATCAATTGAGTTTCATCTGTCCGATGAAGAGAGGGAAAATTTTTTTACAGTTGATAATTCAAAGGTTCTTTTCTTTATTTCAAAAAAAAAAAATTTTTTTTCTTCCATGAACACTATTCTCATCATATAATAAACTGTTTCTTTTGTTTAGATTATCAACACAAAAACTACAGTTTACATCAACAATAAACCTCAAAGGCAATGGAAATTTGAGGAAATGTATCTCGACGAATTGCACCTGGTTGGAATTGCATATTGTGGCTTGAACAATTGCGAGGATTGTTCGAATATTGAGATAGACGGCTTTAACAAGATCGAACTTGAGGAGTTGTTGAAGTACTCGAAAGAATTGTAAGATATAAAGAACAATCGGTGATTCATTTCTAATACTGTAAGCTGTAAAATAGACACAATTTGGACTATTTAAAAAATCGAATGATAATAATTTTAGAAGATATAATATTTGAAGTAAAATCAAAATATAATAATTAGACATAAATTATTGCTGTTCTTGTTATACTATTTGAATAAGCAGAACCACTACATCTTTATAAGTGATTACTTTACATTTGCACACAATTCTATTAAGCAAAGCCTTTTGTTAAAACCAAAATTAATTTAATTAATATTTTTTAAAAAAAAAAAATACCCGCATCAATTATTTGTTATTATATAATTATAAATATCCAAATAAACTTATTTAAATAAAATAAAAATATTTTTAAATTAATTTTAATTAATATTTATTTTACGTGTATACTCTTTTTTTATAACAATACAATTAAACAAATTTAAAATTAAATAAACTAAAACCAATAATAAAATTTTTATTTTTAAAAGATTATATATATACAGTATGTATTTTTATATACGTATAAATCTATTTATAAAATAGTAAATTTATAACTAAAAATTATTTGAACTTTTCTTTAAATACTAAAGATCAAGTATAATTTCATAATTATAAAAATAAATAAATTTTAAATATATGCAATAAGTAATTTGTTAATTATAAAAATAAAATTTTTTGACAAGAAAATTTATTGATATACTGTATAGCGATTAATCTTTTTATAATATATTATAATCTAAAAATAGGTGATATAACTTAATAAATAAACAGATTTTTTAAAACATTTATTTTAGTATAATAGATGTAATTAATTTATTTATAAAATAAATATCTATAATATTAATAAATAAGTTAATAAATAAACTTTTTAAAAAAAGTACAAATAATTAAAAAAACTATGATTTATAATTTACATTATACAAATTTTAAATTTGTTACATCAATTTTTGTATATAATATAATGCAAAAAATTTTGAAATATTATTTATATAATATAAACATGTATAATTTTTTTAAACCAAAAAAATTCATATAAAATTTTAAATATATAAACAATATATTTAAACAATATATATAGGTGCTTAAAATTATTTAATTATTTTATTTTTATTATAAACTTATTCTTACAATATTATTTTCTAAAAAAAATATCCAATAAAAATTATATTATATTTATAAAATAATAAATTACTTTTGCATATAAAATATAATCCAAAACTGGCATAAACATGTTAACTATTTATTATAATCTATAATTAAAAAATAATTAGTAGTGCTTGTTCTAAAAAGATTATAGTACATGAATCAAAAACAATTAATCAATATTTATATCATAATTAAAAACTTTTCTTAAGAACTTTGACAATTAAATTATTAAATATTAATATTAAAATATCAAATTCAACAATTTTAAAACATTTGACCAATTTAAGTTATAAAAATAATTTATCTTTAAAAATATCCATGCTTACTATTATTTATAAAGAAATCTATATTATTTAAACAAAAAAATATTTTAATGATAACTAAAAAAATATATTATTTTTTAATAAAATCATATTTCAACTTTTAAAAATACAATTACTTAATAATATAAAAGTGCAAAACTAGTTAAGAATACTTAATGATTATTTTAAAATCTTTGCATAAAAAAAATTATATATATAAAAATTTATAAATACAAAATTTTAAATCAATATTTTGCAAAATTATAAACAAGAAATTAATAAACTACTTGAAACTAACTGATACTTTTAATAAAATAATTATTTCAATTATATAAATAAAATTGCTAAAGTATTTTTAAATGAAAAATTTTCTGAAATTATTAATTAGTCTTTTAATAATTCAGATTTAAATCTATTGAAAACCTTTAAACTATTATTAAAAGGAATATAAAAATAATATTATCAAAAAATATTTAAAATTAGAATAATTTATAATAAAAGAATAAAATAAAATTCTAAATAAGGTTTTAAATAATATTATAAATTCAATAAAAGAAAGTGTGAATTAATAATTGAAAATAATGGTAAAAAAATTAATTATTAATAAAATCTCTAGATTTTTAGCTTTATTTATATATATATATTATTAATTTTTATATAATAGTTTTTGAGTAATAAATAAATAAATAATTTCAAGATTTGTTGTACTATACTATAAATTAAAAGTAAAATATATGTAAAAATATAATATATTAGATTAAATAAGAAATTTTAGCAATTGTATTAAGCTTTAAAAAAAATCATTTACAAATATACAACATATATATTGAATTGAATTTTGATTTTTTTAAATAAATACCAAATATAATATTGTTTCCTAAATTAAAGCATATGTAATAACTTAACAATCTAATTAAAAAAATTTTTAAAATATGTATTAGAGCCGGTTTTAACAATTTCAAACTCAGTCATTTATTATAAAAAAATTTATAATATCAAAAGTATCACAGTTTTCAGAATACATATAAGCCTTTATAGAAGAATACAGAATCAATAAAAAAGTAACTTTTAACAACCTTACTGTTTCTACATGGATAAATTTATGAAAAAATTAGTGAATGACATTAAAAATAGATGTAACTTGGTTGCAAAAAATAATATTAAATTCAGAAAGATTCTTTTAAGCAGAAATTAACAATTCAAAACTAGTGATAATAATTCTTATACTTCAAATTATACCTCAAAAAAGTCAAATATAAATCTGAACAGATAGTACTATCTGTATCAATATTTTTCAAAAGCTTCAAAACTCTTACATTAAAAATATAGAAAAAAAATACAAAAAATACAAAAACTGATAACTATGGACAAGATATACAGTACATAAGAAACAGGTTATAATTCAATGTTGTTATATTATTATACTCTGATCAAAGATTAATCTAATTGAAAATAAATAAATCAATCAATATACAGTATATCTATATTGCGTATCTCATTAAGTCTTCACTAGGGATGTTAATTGATCCTCTGGTTACAAAAATGAATCTTCATCATGAGTTACTAATTAATTAAGTTTACACCACTAATTTTTTTACCAAGGTTTCTTATTGATAATCTTAAATTACGTATGGCGTTGAGACCACCGATCCGATCCAATAGTTATTGTAGTTTTTTTAATAAAGTTTTATTTAAGAGTCATTAATAAAACTTAAATATTTCACTAAAGATTATTATTAAAGATAATTATTGGACTTATCTAAAATTCATGATTTTAAAAATTTATTTTTTGCTGTGAAACCCATTAACATTCCTAGTTTCCGGTTGGAAATGAATGAATCATCTGTGCTGTACATAGTATTTTTTCCGTATTTTCGAATCTTCTCTAGGTATGGGCAGGAAAAAAGATTCTGTAGTGCAACGCAAATCAGTTCTGTTGCAACTTAAAACTGTGTTAAATGTTATCGATAACTCCGGTGTCCTTGCCGAGTGTATTCGTGTGACATATTCGTAAGGGTGAAGTAAAGAAAGCATTGATTGTACACGCAAAGAAACCAGGAGACCGGATGGAAGATATATCAGATTTGATAACAATGCTTGCATACTGTTGAATAATAAGTTGGAATCTTTGGATACTAGAATACTCGGTGTGATAGGGACAGAGTTGAGAGGGAAGAAGTGGGGAAAGGTCGTTAGTTTGGCTTCAAGTGTCATTTGATGGTTGTTTATACACGATAGAAAATCAAATTTTCGATGTTTGCAGTCACATAATGAACAAGAACGCGAGTACCATTTACATTATTCCAGAGTCTGTAATCGAAGTACCCATTAATTCTTCTGATTATCAGAGGTTTACTCTTAATGTTCTTTGTATAATACTTTAAAATTAACTGCGCCATTGGATCAAAGTACAAATTCACGACAAAGCACGATAATGAATGTATTTCCACGGTGTCTTTCTCACAGCTACCATATAGAACGATGCGGATAATAAAAATGATATATGACTAAGTATATAAATCAATCAAAAATTCCGGATTCATCATATCTAAATGACACAGCACATATCT